CGCAATCGCCGCCACGGCAGCATGAGGGCGAGTGACAGCGCGCCTGATCGCTGGTGGGAAGCGCGAAATCTGGACTCCGTCGCGCGAGACGACCTCGATCTCGACGCGCGGGTTGGGGTTGGGCGGAGCATTAGGGCTGCGGAACTGGTCATCGGAGTCGTTGTCGTCACGGTCGTCATCAGAATCATTGTCATCCTCGTCTTCGTCGTGGCGCTTGGGGTGACGCTTGTGGGATTCTCGCCTGCGCTTCTTCCGCCATTTAGTTCGGTTCTCTGTAAAAAAATAATAATAAAAGAAAAGATATTTGTAAAGAGAGATAAATGAAAAATGAAATTGAAATGAGGTTGACTTGAGAGTTGAGAGAGGAAAAAAAAAAAAGGAAGAAAGAAAGGAATTTTTAGGTTACTGTGGATACCTGATGGGAAGGAAGGGGAAGGTGGCATGAGAAGTTAAAGAGAGAGTGAGTTGGGGGGAGTGGGGAGAAAATTAGAGTGTGGGGTCGTTGATTGGCGCAAAGGGTGGTGTGGAATTTTGATTTGGAGGATGGTTGTGTTTGTGTCAGGTCTGTGTGTGAGAGAGAGAGAGAGTGAAGAGAGGAAATGAAAGGTGGTATGGTATGATTTAGGGTGTTGCTTTTGGATGGGGCACGGAGGAAAAAATTCCAAAATTGTATGTAGGTTTTGTGTGTTTTGATGTGGTTTTGCTTCTGGGTGGGTTCACTGACACATCATTTTAACGCCGTTTTCTGAGGAGTGTGATTCACACGCGACCATTCACGATGGATGTTTTGTTTTGTGTAATTAATTGGTTGTCTTCCACCCTAGGCTACCCTGTTAAAAAGCCTTTAATTTTCTTTGGGCTCTTTTCTTTTCAGCTACCTATATCTGCAATGGTTCTTCCTTTGGTCCAAAGCCTTTAACCAAAAATCATGATTACAAAAAAGAGAATAGTTAAATCTCTTTTATTACTTATGCAATTCTTATTATCTTGCATTTCTCAAATTGAAATATGTGCTTTACAACAGTAATGATGATTAATACTACATATTAAGTCCCTTCTTTTAATGATTAAAAAATATTTTGGTTGTTAGGATTAAAAAAAAAAGTGTCAGATCGAAAAAGAAATCAATGTAATATGCACAAATATGAATAAATATTTTTTTAATCTTAATCAAAATTAATTTATTGCGTACTTAATATTATCTCAAATTATAAAATATAATGTTGTTATTTACCGTATTTAAAATGTTATTTTATTCAAAATTTAATATTTTTATCCTAATTTTTTTAAAATGAATAAAATTATATTTGACTTTTATACATTAATTTTATATTTTATAGAATTTATTATTTTTTAACACATTTTGTATTTTTTGTTTAGTAGATGTTATGTTTAGTAAGTCTTTGAACTCATGAAAATCATATTATTAGTATATATGAATATGTAGATTTTTTATAATAACAAATGTATTTGATTTTTTTATTTTTTTTAAATGTTTATTGTAAAACAAAAGATAAAAATAATGATTTTGCACCAAATGTTTCAAGTTCAAAAAGTATCTCAAATAAAAAAGTCTCTCACACGAAAGAAAAATATGTATTTTATAAAAGGAATTACTAATAAATACTTTGATGGAATTACTAATAAATACTTTGATGAACATGTTGTATTAACACCGTTTACTTTTTTTAGTGACAAAAGTTGAATAAAATAATATGAGTAACTCAAACCTCTAGTCAATATTTTTCTAAAAAAAAAATAATTAGTCACAATCTCTAAAAAAACAAATGTAATAATTATGATCATGTATCTTCTTAATCTCGCATTATTACATTACATAACTCGAACTCATTATCACCAAATTACTCACATCAATAGTCTTATATTCTTGCATAAAACGATGATTATTAAAAATAACTCAGTGTCACAAGTTCATACCAATCTTATGATTATCTTGGAGGTATTAATTTTGATCATCCATCAATTTTGAGGAATACCTCCTCAACCACAACATTTTCTTACATTATTAGTATTTATGGATACAAAAGAAGAAATTTGGTAAGAAAGCTATGTATTTTTTTAATTTCATGGACTTATAATTTTTAGGAATTTTTGACTTTCTTTCGATTATATTTTCTTTGAATTATAAAATTTGTTTAAAACTAAAAATTAATCTTATTTGAATACTTCAATCAATACTCAAGTTCAATATTATGTATTAAATCTTTAATTAAAGGAGGGTGTGGAGACTGTTAAAGGAAAAGAGAAGTGTGTCATTCTCATTAGGAGAATGTCTCATATTCTTGAATTTTAAAATAAAGAGTAAAATGTTAAATCTGATATATTTTTTTTGCAAACAAATGAAAAAAAAAACTAAGTTTAAGTATATAGTCTAATAAGATTATCATCTACAAGTTTGAAATCCTTATAAATATTTTTGCAAAACCTGAATGTATAAGATAAACATAGAAGAAAAGTTAAATAAAACAATTCAAAAAGTAAAAAACTTAGAAAACTTGTTATTATAGTAGTTTTCTCAACCTAATTTGCATCTAGTCTGATTTTAAGTAACTCTTAAATAATTATACTATTAATAATAAAATGATTACAAGCAAAACAGGTTATGTTACATGCCACTTTGCATTAAGGGAGATCTTTTTTGCCAAAACATTTATTTGTTGAAAAGAAACTATCTCAATTCAAAGCTGTTGATGTTTATGGTGATTAATAATTCAGTCAAATTAAACTTATTATCATTTTTATTTTTGTCTTACATAAATATAATAGGTCATTCACACCCTTTAATTTACCACTAAAATTAAGATACTAAGTATTATTTTATATTAATTTATTCCTTACTTCCACATATAAAAAAATATGTTTAAAATTTTATAAGATAATTGTCAAAAAGGATATATAATGATTTATACGTAGAGAATTTCATTTCACCAAGTAAAATATATTACAAATATTTTCACTAAAGACTAAAAGGTCAACTAAATTGTTATTTATATATGCTATTTTCTCATATCTACATGTACTGTGAAAATCTCTTTTAATATCTTAATTTATTCACTTCATATATATATATATATATATATATATATATATATATATATATATATATATATATATATATATATATATATATATATTATTTATATTGTTATCTACAAGTTAACATTATAGAATTTTGTTTGAAAATCTTGTTTTGATTTATAATTATCTATCATAGTCATATGTCTATAATAATAATACATTTCAAAATTTAATTTATAATTATTTATCATTATACATCTCCATTGTAATTAGATAATAAAACAGGTTTATACAGTCCTGCTTTTATCCACCAAAAAACGGGACAGGACGGACTCTTCCATCATAGATAAGACAGATTACGGTCTACTAATAAATTTTTGTTTTATATAAAGAATTTTACGTGTTTTTTTTATATATCTTTAATTATATGTATAATTTTAAATTTTTATTTATTAATTAATATTTTTATTAGATAAATTAAAAAAAATATTATATTTAATTATAATCAATAATTTAAATTTAATTAATTAATTTTAATAATTTAAATTATAATATTATAATATATTTACATATTTTAATAATATGATAAAAAATATAATATTTTTTTATGTTTATTATAATATATAAATATTTTTTAAAAATAGACTAGTGGATCAACTCACCCCACACTGTCCTTGACCTATCGAGTTAGTGCTAGACGGATAAGATTAACAAGTTAAAATCACCAATCCATCTATAATTTTTTTAAATGAATTAATGGATCAATCAGTTAAACTTAACTCATTTTATCATCTTAATTATCACATGTACAGTCATTTTATGACAACATTCAATATAAGACTTTACCAATTTTAGTAAAAAATTAAAAAAAATAAACACTACATCTTATTATTTTATTAACATCATGAGATATTTATTGTGTTCATAAAAATGGTAAATAATATTTTAACTCTCGAACGAATTTTTATAAAATATTTCATAACTTAAATGTATTTTTATAAAATATTACTACTTTAAAATTTAAAATTATTTATTATTATTAAAATATATAATATAAAGATTATCATTATCATCATATTTGTTGATGTTTTTATATAGCATGATAGGTATTTAGTTTTTTCATATCTTTTAATCTTATTTCTATTATGATTTTGCCTAAATCTTAGAAACATTAGATTAGAAACATTAGATGTTTTATTAAGTCCTTATAATATTATATTTTTAAACTTATTTTTACTAAAATACCTAATATCAATGTGAAATTCTCACTACTGCTTCTTTATAATAATCACAGAAAAACAATACATTAATATTAGAATATCCATGTTAATATTTATAAAATCTTTATTTTAAAATTATTTTAAGTTTACTTTTTTATATTTTTTTAAATCACTTAAAACTTGATTATTTACTAGTAATTGAACAAATTTTAGACGATACTATATAATATTACAATTTATTTTCAAAAATTCATTAAAAACGCAATTAAATAATTTTCTTATGTTCTAATTTTACTAATTATAATTATTTTGCTGCATTATCCAGACAAAAGCTCTTATATTAATTTGTCATTTTTTTCATTTTTATTATTAATTGTTTTTCACTTATTTTACTTTTAAAATTTTGGATAATAATACATTTGAGTCTCAAATCACCAATTTATAGCATCACTTCATAAATTAAATTATCACACCATGAATGAATTAACAACCTTAATGACTGGGTAAATTATGCCAAATGTTAATTTGGGTGGTAAAATTTATAAAACAACAATACTAAAAGATTGTCTAATTAAATAAAACTATTTTTATTATTTATTATTATTATTATTTATTTTATTTGGTGGCTTAACCCCAAAGAAAACGCGATGCTCCCCTCCTTCTTCAAATAACATTATTAATTTATTTTACGACTTAATCGCAACAAAAAATTCATCTTCCTCGCCGGATCAATTTCAAAGCATGTCGATCTTCGAGTACAACGGAAGCGCCGTCGTGGCCATGGTCGGCAAGAACTGCTTCGCCATTGCCAGCGACCGAAGGCTCGGGGTTCAGCTCCAAACCATAGCCACCGATTTCCAACGCATTTCCAAGATTCACGATAAGCTCTTCATCGCTCTCTCTGGCCTTGCCACTGATGCTCAGACTCTGTACCCTTTACTCTCCCTTCTCTATTTCCCTATTATTTATTTTCCTTAAAAAAAATATGTATATATATATATATATATATATATATATATATATATATATTTAACTGTTTTTTTGTTCTTATTATTTACTTTAAGGTATCAGCGTCTCGTTTTCCGGCACAAACTGTATCAGCTTCGTGAAGAGAGGGATATGAAGCCGGAGACCTTTGCCAGCTTGGTCTCTGCCTTGCTCTATGAGAAAAGGTAATGCCATTTAGATCTACGAAAAAAAAAAACTATTCTGGATATCTCTTGAAGGGATATCTGTTGAAAGTTTTGATTTTTTGGTGTTGTTATAATTGGGGTTTTCCTAGTGGTGTCTTACAATTGAAAATTGATTGCGGGTTGTTATTAGTGAGTTTTGAATGAGTTAATTGATACCCTTGTGTATTGAGTAGTTTTTTTGTATATGATTCACGGTTTGCTTTCAAGTTGGAAGTGGGGTTTTAGATTATTATTTCAATTAACGTTCAGGGATATTAAGTGTGTGAATGTGTTTGTATGTCTATTCCTTATCTCCTATGGCCTCGCCATAGCAGTGAGTAGCCCTAACAAGACACTTTCTAACACTCCTGGTAATTGACTTTTGTCAAATAGGAAGTTGAACACATACAATTTTTTTATTTCTAAAAATATTTTAATTAATTATAGAAAATGTTTAAAAGAATGTGTTAAGTGTGTATTGCTAGTATTTCTCTGATAAATATTCCTTTCTGAAATTTCTGAGACTGGAGTTTCTTTTGCGAAATTGCATGTAGAAATGCCTAATTGTCTCTAGGGACCTAAATATTCCCTTTTATTTTGTTTAATTCAATTTGTTGCACACCTTCCTGTTTTATATGTACCCTTAAAAAACAGAGCGTATTATTAGGATATCTGTTATCCTTGTTTTGGACATAAAACATACATATATTATTCTGGGGTTGGTTACTTTTCATGTTTTTCCATTTTTCCTTCATCTTTCCCATTTAAATTTTTACCGCTGAAACAGATTATTTATAAATTTGTTGAAATCTAGTTGTTCCTTGGGTACTTGGAACACGTTTTACATATATGAGCTTACTAAGTTAGCTTTTAGCGCAGTTTTTTTTTGGCTTTTCTTCGTAAAAAGAAAAGCTGGGTACTCACGCATGGTAATCTTTTGGAAGTTTGTTGATACTCACCATTCTAATGGTGGAGGGCTATTAATATCAAGAGACTTGTGATTTCATTGAGACTTATGATTTAATTGTTTTCTCAATTTCTTGTTTAAAAAGAATGCACTGAGCATATGTATGTACATTCATATATGTGTGTGTGTGTGTGTGTATGTTTACATTTTTATGTATATGTGTATTTGTATGTATCTTAATATTTGATTTGATACGTATAGTTTCCAATCCACAATTCAAAAATTAACTTAGTAATTCATAGTTTGAATGTTGACCAATATCACATATTAGGTTGAAGTTGAAGCCTATTTTAATTTTTATTTATTTTTGTCTCCTTGTTACATGTTTGCACTGCAGAACTGGTTACAACAAATTGCAGTAGACTATAAGATTCATAATTCTCTTGTTATGTTTTAAATTTTTGATAAACTCTCATTTATAACTGTTTATATCTTTTGTTTTTTAGGTTTGGTCCATATTTTTGCCAACCTGTAATTGCTGGATTAGGTGATGAAGACAAACCATTCATTTGCACAATGGACTGTATTGGAGCAAAGTAAGTGAAATAATTCTACACTACTGTGCATATTTTTTTGTAGAGGGACGTTGCTGGTTTGTGTAAATGCTTACAAATGTTAGTAATATGTAGTATAAATGTATAATGCTATTTCAGTGATAAGTATGTACCATTTACAGTTATGAGAAATGGTTTACATTTTTTTGTGCATTTGGCTGAAGGTCTGCTGTGAGACAAGCATCATCTGCATATTTGAACAATTTTGCTGACCTTTATTAGTTTCAGCTATACCTCCAGCTAAGCTACATGGAAATTGGACATATGAACTAATTTTAAAAATGTTTTGTTCTTCCAAGTTTCAATTGCCTAAAAATTGGTGATTTTCTATGCTATGATACAAAACAATTAAAAAAAATAAATGAGCAATTAGGGGCTTGTTTACTTCTGTTTCCATATTCTAGTTTTAATTACAAAACTATCATCTTGCTTTCAATCCATTTTCTAAGATTTGTAGCAGATAAAACAAAACACAAATTTATTTTCAGTGGTATTTGAAGACAGGAATGGATTGAAAACAAGATGACAATTTTGTAAATGAAAAGGGAAAACAGGAAACGAAAATAGAAGTAACGGGGCCCTATTAAAAGATAAAAGCAAGGTGTAGTTGGCAAAACAGCATGGCTTAAAAAATAAATGGAGATGGATCAAATTTGTGAAACTAGAAGCTAAAATTGTATACTCATCAATATGTATTATATGTTGCTACATTTTTTTAACAGAAATTCTCTTGTATTTGGTAGGTATGTTTCACGTAACACTTCCTTTGGATAAGATTAAGGGTTGGCTTATATTAAGTGAAAAGAACATTGCCTTTTTTTACACTAACAACTTTTTAAATAGAAGCTTTGCTCCATTTTTATTTTCTTTACTGTTATCTGTTTTAGTTTGCCCCAACGGATTCTTTATCCTCCATTAGTCTCTCTCTCTCTCTCTCTCTATCAGATGCCTACATCTTCTGTATCCTATAATCTGAATGTTATGGATTGTATGTTGTTTTGATGGTGCCTTTTATGCAATTCCTCTCTTGATTAAATATCCTTTTAAGTTGTATATTGGCATATGTACTATTTTTCTTGTGTGCAGGGAGCTTGCAAAAGATTTTGTTGTTTCTGGCACTGCATCTGAGTCTCTGTATGGTGCTTGTGAGGCGATGTTTAAGCCTGACATGGTTGGTCACTAAGATTAACTTGCTGTCTTTCTTGCCACTCTTTAATGTGATTATCAAATCAATGTAGTAATATTTTACTCTACTTTAACATGGATAATTTATTTCAATTGGCCCAGAGTACAATCCATTTATGGTACTCTTGTAGACAACATGATTCATATTAGGGTTGTTCTTGTCAGTTTAAGGAGAAAATCAGTTTGAGCCAATCAATTTTCATTGGTTTCAATTGGTTTGGGTTTTTCAAAAGAATAAAACAATACAATTTTGAGCCAAACCAACCCAATCAAGAACGAGTTGATTCGGTTTTGGTCAATTGGATCCAATTATATACAAATAATTTTGTCCTAAAATTTGTGCATAGTTTTATCATTAAAAGTGATAAACAATATTTTTGCATTGTAATTGGCTTAGACCAATAAAATAATAGCAAAATTAATAAAATTTTTGTGTAGTAATCTGCAAGACTGCATTGTGAAAGTATAGATGAAGAATCAAATCATCATAGGTTTTAAAGCTTAATAAGCTTGACTAATTATTGTGCAAGTAATTTTATGAGATATTTGTTTGGGACGGGAGGAAGTTTGTAGAAATACATAATAAGATAATTGCAAATGCAGAGATATATACTGGGTTACAAAACTTCAGCATTAGTGAAATGTCTAATAACTGTGGGGACAAAATTATTTGATGGAGCAAGATGTTTTATGGTGTGTTAGCCTGGGATTCAAATAGAAGTGACAAGGAATGCTTTGATAGTGCCTTGATTTTGCCATTTGGTTTCAGCATCAAAGTTTTCCACTGTCATACTTATGATTTAACATACAGGTTTTATAATATTCTCTCAATGTTTGTTAAAGAGACCCCAGCTTAATTTTCTTCTTGGTTTGTGATCATGACACAGGAACCGGAGGATTTGTTTGAGACCATCTCCCAAGCACTGCTAGCGTCCGTAGACCGTGATTGTTTAAGTGGTTGGGGAGGACATGTCTATCTTGTGTAAGCTTACAAACTCAAATTTTCTTAGAAATTTAGTATAAAGAACTTTATATGCTGTTGCAATTTCCTTGCCAGTGCTAGCACATTCCCATCGTACAAGCCACTGGCAGGGATTTGTGACTTTTGCATCTGCATGAAATAGTTTTGGCAAGAAGGCAAGATTAAACAAATCCTGAGTAGGGAACTTCCACAGGCTATTAGTTATCTGTTCATTTTTCTGAACTGTGTGATTAGAACCTTGGGAGAATCAAATTACAAAAAGGTATTTGTTGCAGTTGAAGAATCCCGAGCTATGTAAATCCCCTACTAAAATCTCATACTTCCAATGTTGGACTTAAGCCCCAATACCCATGCAGCTTGGCTGTGCTCTAGTTCTTGTTTAGTTCTGCCTCCAGGCAAAACACTACAATGGTCGGCCTCACCACCCATGCATCCTGTCTGCAGGTGAGAGGAGACATGGTGGAAGGTGCGGATACCATTTTAATAGGCACAAACGGAGTTGATGCAGAATATAGATTTGAACTTGAATTTCTGATAAAACTCGAGAAGTATCCTTGGTACCAAGGCTACAATGATTGGAGAGTGTTTAGAAAGTGGGTTTAAGCCTAACCCAATCTTATAAAGCTAACTTGTAAGAGGTTTGAATCCAGTTATATATCATCATTTGATGATATCTATACTTGACAGAGATTTTGACAGAGTTTTCTTGTAGAAATAGAGTAAAATACCTCTCTCTTTCCTTCTATGATTCCCACATCTCCCTCCTCCACTCCCCCCTATTGCCAGTCATTTATGTTATTTCTTCCTCCGCATCTTTTACCACCTGTTTATTTTTCTCACATACTCAGCCTTGCACCATAGACCCAATAGTCACATTTCCCTTTCTTTCTACCTTTCCTTCTCTTCAGATTGCTATAATTACTTCGAAAGAAAAACTTGCAACACTTTATTTGTTACCCAAAATATGTCTTACATCCTCTTTTTATTTTACATCTATAGTTTTATTCTTCCTTGAAATTAGGACATTTAAGTTTGATTTTATGCCTGCTCATTTATTCCAAAGGCTTATTGGTATGTTGTTTTGTGTTATGCAGTACACCAACTGAAGTAAAGGAAAGGATTTTGAAGGGAAGGATGGATTAACTTATAACCCAACTGGGTTTCTGGTTAGTTTGGAGCTGAATGCAATGGCATTTACCATCCTTTGTTAAAGAGTACTTTGTTATTGTGGCATTAGTTAAAATGTACCCTGAATTTTTTTTTTATAGAGTTTTCATTCGTTCTATATTTAGATTACGAGTGAAAGGAGGTTCTTGAATTGGGCATATTGTGAATTCTATTGGAATGTGTTTCAGTGCAGACAGGCTCGAATGGTACAAGAATTGCCTCATCTATTTCCCTCCCGTTTATTTTCTATTTTGCAGTTCTCCGATAATTGATTTCGAGAAATGATTGTCTTTTTCAAAAAAAATTCTCCATAACGCTAATTGGGAGCAATGATTATTTTTAAACTTTATTTTAATGCATTATCTGGTGAAGCCTTGACAAACCACGTTTTACCTCCTTGACTCCCTCATGGCTTTTTTGACTTTTTTTAAATTGGTTTCGTTGTCCTTAAGATGAAATTAGAAATTAAGCCTTTATTTCTTATTATTGGATTTCAGGTTTTTCTATTTTGACTTGTTTTTATTTTATTTTATTTTTTAAAAATAATTATAATTATAAATTAATTTTAATAATTTTATATAAATAAATATTTATAATTTATTAATTATTATTAAGTATATATTTTAATTTATTATATTTATATTAAAATATGCATATAAAAAATGTTTCATATTTTTTATATGAATATAAAGTTATTATTATTATATATTATAATATTATATTTAAATATTTGTTATAAATTAATTATTTTTTAAGTTGTTATTTTAAAGTGTTAATAAATATATAATTTATAAGAAGATATTTAATAAGTTAATTTTTATTTAATTAATATAAAGTAATAAAAGTTTTAATTATTATTTTTTAATATTTTAAAATATAATTATTTTATTAATATAAAATTTAATATATGATCAATATAAATAATAAAATAATATTAATATTTTTAAAATTGATGTATAATATCTTAAAAAAACATTGTGTTTATTAAAATAAAAAAATGATAAAATTAAATTGATTAAAAAGATTAAAAAAGTGTAAATAATAAAAGATGAGAAAAAAATTAATGTAATCAATTTATTGATGGAAGAGATTGAAAATAATAAAAGAATAAAAAAATTAAAAATAAAAATTATAAAATATAAAAAAATAATTTTATATATAATATAAAAATAAAAATAAAAATTTTAAAAAAATTAATAATTCAAATATAAAGTTAAAGTTGAGAAAATTTCGGAATTTAACTCGTAAGATATTTTAGGGGTAGGTAGCATAGTTTCCTAGCTGCCATATTCGGATAGCTTTATGGAGTGTTTTTGATAAACAAGTTTGGAAGGGGTCTACAACATATCACTTAATCAACTTAAGACACAGTGTTTTAGAAACTCAAAAAAACACAATTATCAGAACATAAATTTCCAAAAAAAAAATGATTAGCCATATAAAAAAGATTAAATAATTTGTTTGGGTAATAAGAGAGTGATAATAAGAATGTTTGTTTCTAAACATAAATTATGGAAGTATTTGAATACAACATCCAAGTACAAATTTTCTTATAGTAGTTTAGGATTTTCGGTCAACCTCTCTTAAAATATACCATTTCTCTCATTATAAATACACAATATTGAAAAAAAATCAAAACAAATAAAATTATATTGTCATTAATCTCTTAGTGTTAAATTTTATTCGTATTTATCGTCTATAATTTTTTTTTCTTTAGTTAATTTTTCTACAATGACCATAGAGTCTTGAAACCAAGAAAATTAATTTCATACCAATTTTTTTCATAAAATTTGATAATGAGTTCTTGTGGTTTCTTGCTTTATTTTGTGTTTGTCTTTTAATTAAATTGAATATATATGATCATTCAATTATATATTCTACTTTTTTTAATTTTATGTTTTGTTTAAAATGAGTTTCATACTCATTTAGTAATTGGTCGTAAATTTTTGTGATGTAAATAGTTCACTCCTATTCTTATATTATTATAAAATTACATATATAAAGATTATATTTTCATGATTATTTTGATACTTTTCAGAATTTCAAACTCAATTTATAAAACTATATTTATTATGACGTGATTAAAAGGATGATCTGGTATAATGTAACTAAATGGTCCAAATGTAATTAAAAGAAATTAATGATTCAGTTTTTTAAATTATTTATAATTTTTTTAATATTTTAATATGATTTATAATTTTTTTTCTAATGAAGGTCTCTGTTAAACAATAAATTAATGAGTCAATTTTAATTTAATTGAAAAAATTATATTAATCTATCAATATCAAAATAATTAATTATAAAAATATTTACATAAAAAATATTTTAAATTTAAGATATATTAATAAAATTATTTATTATTTTAAATATAATAATTTAATATATAAATTATACGAGAATAAATTTATTTATTATTAAAATAAAAAATAAAATTTACTTTTTTTATTATCATTCATTTTTTTAATATAATAATCTAAAAATTTATCTCAAGTCAATATTATAAACTTATTATTATATTTATTTATTTTAAATAATTATTTATCAAATTTATTTATAATATATGTATATTTAATAAAATAATATTTTTTTATTTTTTATTTTAAAAATATTATTATTTTATAAAATCAACTTATATATATTTATATAAAAAATCTATTTAAATCATAAGTCCAATTAAAATTAATTTAATTCGATTTATATTATTTAATATAATTTATTTTTCAAACATTTTGAATCACCACCAACTAAAACTATACGGATATAGGGGCACTCCAAACAACATCCATTGGAATTTGCAGCAACATGACAAGGGAACATTGTTTCTATGCTAGTCACAAATCACAACGTTGTCGAAGTTTTTATATATATATTAGTCTCAATAATTATTATAAATATCAATAGTTTTGAACTATATAATAATTTATAATTAAAGAACAATATAATATATTTTAATTAAATTTAAATATGGAAGCAAACAAGAACCAAATTACTTCAATAATTTAACTTGCTATATATATAGAATCACAAGTTGAGGTAATTAATTACCTGTAATTGGTAGATGATAACTTGAATTTTAGAATAAGGTATATTGCAACTTATGGATAATGTTTTGCTATATTGCTTTGCACTGAAGCTGCATATCCAAAAGAAGAAAAGTTAATGGAGATATCAGAAAGGAATAGTTAAGAATCTGGAATATGCATGAAAACGGTTTCCTATTGCTTGACATGTAAGTTTTGTTCATCTTCAAACAAATTTTCCAAATATCTGATGCTTTCATTCATCTCCTCAAATACCTCTATCATATTCTTCTCTTCCCAAATCCCAACTCATCAATTCTTTACGCTAATCATCCCTTCTTCACCTTCCATGGATCAACGTGATCAAGAAGGCAAACAACCATCCCAGAAAACCCCATCACAGAATCACCTTGACCCAGTTGATAGTTCTGACATTTTTGCTCCACAAAATGGCTTTCAAGAGCAAAGTGACACATTCACAACGTTTGCATCGTTTGAAAGTGGAACTGAGAGCGAGTCCTCTTTTGATGACCACGACGACAGTTCTGACTTTTTCCTGAGCCAAGAGTTTGAATCCGAACTTCAGTTTCCTGAGAGTGAAGGAAGCAATGATGATGATGACAGTGATAGTGATGAGGAAATGGAAGAGGATGAGATCGATGTGGATGAGTTGACCTACGAGGAGTTGATTGAGTTGGGAGATTTCATAGGACAAGAGAAGAGAGGGTTATCAGCAAATGAAATTTGTTCATGCTTGCATTCTCACACCTTCCATTCTGCTGAAAGCAAAAGTGGAATCGATCTTTGTGTGATTTGCCAGGTTGAATATGAAGAGGGTGAAGCATTGGTGGCAATTCAGTGTGAGCACCCTTATCATTCAGATTGCATAAGCAAGTGGCTTCAAATTAAGAAGGTTTGTCCTATATGTAACACTGAAATTTCTGCTCCAAAGATGGTTAATTAAGAATACTTGCATTTTAGATAGCCTTAATTTGTTTCATCTGAATTTGAATGAAAATAGTTGGAGAAATAAAAGCTGCACTGAAGCTTTGTAACATTGTACATTGCAAAAGTTGATGTTAACATATAAAAATGATTGAAGATCAAATCATGCTTTGTAATTTCATTTGCTTACGCAAATAAATCAGGTGGTAGATAAAAAAACAGTGCAACAAACACATTGAAACAAGATTAATTTTGCTTGAGAAATTATATATTTAATTAATTATTTAATGTGGGGCTAGAGTTCAGTTGTCTTTTACATTTTGAAAAACAGTTTAATTATTCATATAAAATTCTTCAAATAATTTTTTTAGTTTTATACTTATATTATTTTATTTATACATGGCATTTTATTTTTTTATGTAACGCTTTTAGTTTCTTTTATTTTCTACATATTATTTTAACATTATAATTTCTATAAACATGATTAAAGAAAATTAAGAAAGTAATTATTTTTAAATATAAAAATTTTAAAATAATTTATCACCTATAAATAAGTAATTATAACTTTAAAAATGTTCCAAATGTTCTCACATATTACTCCACCCACTTCAAATATAAAATTATGATAGCAAAACAAATAATACTCTTCAAAAGAGACTAGTGATGTGTATGTGTTTGACATGATAGTTATAAATATCCTAATCTTCATGTTTCAAAATAAAGTTTCAATTTGGTGTGACTTGTAATGAATATATTGTTAAGAGTATCCGTACATCTTAATTCCAAGTTAAAAACAATCACATTAATTACACACTTTAATAAAATCAATACCCACTTAACATAACATTAATTTGTATTTTTTTTATTATTATTATTAAATATGATACATCATGTCACCTTTATTACTAAAATCCAAATTGTTGGATACACATTGCTTTCACATTTTTATAGTGATTTTTGGTGGCATGAATAATGGAGGTTAGAAGAAGTTTCATCATTGTTGGGGCATGTCATGCTGCAACTTGTCAATATAATATTAATTTGAAAAAAAATTATATATATATATATATATATATATATGTAAGGACACAAAGAGACAAAAAAAGAAAATAGGATGCTGTTAGAAGCCTCTTTCCACATTATGTTTTTAAAATCTTATTTAAATAAGAAAAATAAAATATTTTTAAACATAAATTATTTTTTAATATATTTATATATATTAACAAAATTAAAAGAAGTATTTATAATATTAATACATATATTTTCATTTATAAAAATTAATTTCATTTATTTTAAAAATATTTTTTACATAAATATGCCATAATTGAAAATATAAAATAATATTAATTCAATGATTGCGCCTGGTGCAACGTGCATTAGGGTAAATTGTGGCAGTTAACAAGTTAACATGCGTCAATTCCAACTGTTTGACCTTTTCCTAGTGGCTAAAACAAGACAAGTTATTAGGCTTAGGGTTTATATGGGAAAATATTAATCATATATTTTTATTAATTTGTGTAGCATCATGTAATAAATTTCGCGCCAAATAGAATAATTTGTGAGACTATCAAAATTTTATTTCAGTTAATCTTTTATTTATACAAATTATTGTTTTTTTTAAGAAAAAACACATTCTGATATAAAATTAAGTATTATATATGAAAAAAATATTCATTTTAAAATATTTATTTATTGTGATTTTATTTTAAAAATATTTTTTATTAACAAAATTATAACGAGTTATAATATCAAAACAAATAAAAGTATAACATTATTTACTTTAACAATATTTTTATAATATAATTAATATTAAAGTATTTTTTTTATAAATAATACTTTGTTCGAAATGATAATTTATCCTATCTTAATTTTTAGGAAATGGATAACTAATGATCTTATTTTGTTAATTTTTTTTTCTTTCTTTCAAGAAATATTTCTAAAACATTTTCATTAAAAATAAAAAAATTGTATAAAATATTCTTATATTTTGTAAGATCAACAAATATTAGAAACATATAATCTATTTGTAAGTTCTTATAATATTTTGAAAAGACAAAAATTTATCATAAGTTGCTTTCTAGATTCATCTTCACTCAAATAATCAATAAAAAATAATATTTTTTGAACTTAAAATAACTCTTTCATTATTTCAAAACGTTATGACAAAAATTTGAGTTTATATTAAACAAAATTATCATTTATATAAATGATATTCTTTATAGAATGATGGATTAATTATCATTTAAATCAAAATAATTATATTTTTAAAAATATTTTTAAATTTTAAATTATATTCAATAATTGATTTGTTAAAACATTTTTTTAAACATTTTGTGGGTTGGGTTGGGATTGAAGAATGAAATTGAAGTGTAGAAAAAAATGAAAAATAAGATTGTTTTGATTAAGGAAAAAAATAGAAAGGAAAAAAAAATAAAAACATTGTAATCGATAAAATTAATTTGATTAATTAAAATATTATTTTATTAATTTTAAATAAATTTATTAATTATTTTAATATTTATATTTAATTATTTATTATTATAATAATTAAAAAATTAAAAGAAAATATTTTTTTTGAATGACGCATGATGATGCAAAGAAATATAATCCATTATATCTCATGTTGTACACTTTCCTCGCTTATAAGAGAAGAAAAAAATAGTAATTTCTTTTACTGTTCAACGTTTTTCTTATTTTCTTTGTAAATCAGTTCGTGTTGTCTGTTTCCGCCATATCCAAACTTACACATAAATTTATAGTTATTAAATAAGTAATTTTTTAACTACTTTTTAAAAATAATTCCTTAAAATTATTTTTTAAGAATAAAAACAAAAATAAATAAATAAATAATTTAAAAATATTTGAAACACCATAATCGAATGATTTAATTCTAAAATTATGTAAAGACGGTAATTTATTTATTTTAACTTGGTGAAAAAAATAAAAGAATTATAAATATATAAAATCTTCATTTATATATATATATATATATATATATATATATATATATATAAAAGATTCTGATGACAAATATATAATATCTTCCATAGGTCACTTTTAAAAAGAAAGTATTCTTTTTCTAAAAGCATACCAAATTTTTAGTTCTTAAGTCTAAAGTACTTTTCAGCTTAAAAAAAAATCCCTTGAAAAATAAAATCAATTATGACATAGGAATCAATTAAATTAAAACTATAATATATGTTATTAAAATTAAAATATAAAATAACATTTCTTATTTGAATAATATTTATAAATTAGATATGTATGATTATTTTTAAAGTTAAACGTAAAAACAAATAAAAAAATAAATTAAATTATGAACATCATAATTAATTATACATAATAGTTTTGTAATATTTTTTATTGAATAATTATTTTATTATAATATATTTTAATAAATTTATAATAAAATTATTCAAATTAGATTATAAAAATATTAATTTTGTTTGGTTAAATTTGTAAAATAAAAATCGAACCAAAAATTTTAAATTTATATTTGATTATATAATTTTTTTAAATTTTCTAAATAAAAAAATTAAAATATTTAGAGTATATCTATAAAATTATGCTGCTACTCTTATATATATATATATATATATATATATATATATATATATATATTATAGGTCTTGGGATTAGTTATTGGTAATGATTAAATAAAAAATGATTTATAGACAGTGATAAATTATAAAGAGATAGATGGGTGAGAAGGCTCAGCTTTTGTGACGGCTAGCACCCATTTTGATTCATTATCCTTTGAAAAGTTATGTGTTGTTTTCTGAAGTGGATTGTTTGTGGACAGACAATTCCTATTCTTGTCTTGCCCAATCCCCTTTCGCGTGACTCACTTTTCATCAAGTTTCACGTTCCATAGCACAACTTGAACCAATCAAACCAAACATGTTCAATTCATTTGGACATTATCCAACAAAAATAAATAAAGTGAGAATTAAAGAAACTTACTATCAAAGATCAAACCAAACCACTATAGTTATTAGCTATTATGGGAAGTTGAGTGGAGTTATTAGTGCTTGCGTTCTTCCTCTTAAACTTTATTAATATACTGTCTTATTTTTTTCCTCCAATCATACCTTTCCTTCAATCAAGTTACTTACTCATTTGGTTAAAGGTGTTTTCCACTATTTTAACATGAAATTAAAATAGTTTATTGGGAAGGTTTTTTTCTCAACAGGAATTCAAAAGAGGAAGGGCTTATTAACTTTGTGTCTCATGAAAGTTTACATTGAAGACGGTTGAATTCTTAATTAGTTTTTTAAAAAATATAAAGAAAAAAATTACATTTATTCCAATATTTTGGTTTTGGTATGTAAAAATATTAAATTTTTGTAATTTCTTTAAGATTCTAATATAAAATCAATTTACAGTATATAAAGTAGTCTAATAGGTATTTAAATCATATAAAATGACATGAGACAGACGACGTGAGACTTTCAATATGTCCTATCTAACGAAGCCTCTTAAACTAGACCTTGAATTACAAAAAAAGGAAAACTTTTGACCCAAAACAACAATCAGAAAGAAGTTAGACTTTAGTTCGATACTATGTTAAGGTGTCAACATAAGAATAATAGACAATATTTAGAGTAACCTAATAGGTATTTAAACTATACCAAATAATATGAGGTAAACGACGTGAGACTTCCAACATATCTACTTTCAAATTTATTAAAAACAATTTTATTTATTTAATTATCTTATTATATATTATTTTATTAATTATCTTTTATTATTTTATATAAAATCTTATATAAGTAATTATCTTTTGGACTATTATTATCTTTTAGGTCTTATATAAGGAGATACACTCACGGAATAAATCTCACCTTATCACTTATTCTCAAATATACTACTCTTTTGTCTGAATGTTGACTTGAGCGTCACAATGCTGCAAGTAAGTATCTACTTTTCAAAGGTAGTTATTTTTAATTTTCTTCAAGTTGCAACTCAAAATCTAATTTATCGATTTCTTTGTTGAGAAATTCAAGTATGAGTCTAAGT